CCCCCACCCCACCCCGCTGTGGGAGCCAAAGTGCAGAAAGGGGGAACTGACTACTAAGTGGGAGCACTGAAACCTGAACTCGGGCAACCCAGCCCCAAAACCTGTGGTCTTAACCACTGTGCTGGGTTTCCTGATAGAAATATGCTGTGACATTAGAACATGTTTTGTTAATGCATTTTTTACAAATAAGTGAATTTTAAGACTATGTCATATTCTGCCGACCTCTTCTGCTATTCTCTAGGTGCGTCTTGGTTTCCAGAAAGCCCTGCCTTCTCACAGCTGTTGGTGGCCTTTGCTCATGCTGTCTGTCCCCTTTGCCTTGAAATTTCCTTCTCCTTGTCCTCTTGTTGCTCAGCAAACCCCCACTCCTGCGTCAGGTCCTCCTCTGAAGTCTTACCTGGGATGTTGAGGCAGCCCCTAAGCCCTTCCTCAGTGTTCCTGTGGCAGGAGCTGGGCAGAACCAGGCATGTTCTGCAGGCAGGCCCAGCTCTGCTGGTTCCAGTTGAGTCAAGTTGGGCAAATGACTGGCCCCTCTGTCTAAGCCTCACTGTCTTGTCTGTAACATAAGGAGGATGACCATCCGAACCGCTCAGGACTGTCAGGCTTATTCCTGCAAAGCGCCTAGCACGGGCCTCCAGAAGGGAAGCACGCGATCAACAGAGCGCTCATCATTTCACCGTACTCCTGTCAATACTTGCTGTTTTATAATTACTTGTTTTCATGTCTGGCTTTTCTACTAGACCGTGAACAAGACCAGGATCAGGTCTTCATTACTGTTTGTTTGTTTGTTTTTAACTCTTTGTCACCTTTATTGAGGTATAGTATACAATAAAGCGCATCTGTTTAAAATGTACTGTTCAATAGTCCAATACTTGTATCCACCTGTGTGACTACAGCCCATCACGATTTAGAATTTGTCATCATTCCCAAGAGGACCTTCATACCATTTTACAGTCAGTCTCCGTATCCAACCCTGGCCCCAGGCAACCACCCATCTGCTTTCTGTCACTATAGATTACTTTGGCCTGTTCTAGAATTTCATATAAATGGATTCATACAGTAGGTACTCTTCTGTGTCTGGCTTCTCTCAATTACCCATGTTGTGGCTTACATCAGTAGCTCATTTCCTTTTTTTTTTTCTAATTGGGGAACAGTGTGTTTTTCCAGGACCCATCAGCTTCAAGTCAAGTAGTCGTTTCAATCTAGTTGTGGAGGGCGCAGCTCAGTGGCCCATGCGGGGATTGAACTGGCAACCTTGGTGTTATTCATGATCACTGCGATCTAACCCACTGAGCTAACCGGCCGCCCGTTTTTTCTTTTTTTTTTTTTAAAGTAACTTCAAGTTATTTTTGTTTTATTAAAGTTTTTTTTTATTATTTTATTGGGGAACAGCCATGATCATTGGTTACACATTGCTGTCATGCTACAATGGCATAGTTGACTTTTAAGGAAGATGCAGCTCACAGTGACCCATGTGGGGATCGAACTGGCAACCTTGTGTTATCAGCATGACACTCTAAACCAACTGAGCTAACTGGTCACCCCCATTTCCTTTCTATTGCTGACTATTATTCCATTGAATGAATATGTCACAATTTGTTTAGCCATTCATATGTTGATGGATATTTGGGTTGTCTCCAGTTTGGAGCTATTACTAATAAAGCTGCTGTGAACATTTTGGTACAAATCTTTTTGTGGACATATGTTTCCATTCCTCATGGATAAATTCATAAGAAACTGCCAAACTGGTTTGCCAAGTGGACATAACTCTGTGAGCAACCCCAGCAACCTAGTACAATGTTACGGTTGCTCCACACTCGCCAGCACCTGTGGTGGTCAGTTTTTAATTTGAACCGTTCTGGTGGGTGTGTAGTAGTATCTCATGGCTCTGATTTGCATTTCCCTGATGAGTTATCATGTTCAGCATCTTTCTATGTGTTTATTGGCCATTCGTATACGTTTTTTTGCGAATTGTGTGTATTAAAACCCTCCCCTTTTTTATGAGTTGTCTTCTTGGTATCAGGTTGTTAAAGTTCTTTATACATTCTGGATACAGATCCTTTCTCAGGTCTTTGCTTGGCAAATATTTTCTCCCAGTCTCTTTGCAAGAATTTTGATAAAGTCCAATTAAGCTGTTTTTCTTCTATGGTTAGTGCTTTTTGTCTTCTATTGCAAGGACTCCCCTTTTCCATGGAATCACCTTCATTGCACCCGCTTTTGGATCCCATCCATCTGTGTGTAAATCCCAGGAACAACACACTGTCTGGGTTCTGATCTTGTCCCCTCCCCTGGGCGAGACCACTGCCGTCTGCTCTGTTTCCCCTCCCCCGCCAGGCAGGAACTGGCTGAGGCAGACGCTGAGGCAGTCTTGGGTTACCGTCCTGTGTGCTGCCTATTGTCGAGGATCTGTTTCTTGTATTTTCCCCAGTTTCTGGTTGCTTATAGCAGGAAGTCTTCATTCACTTTGTCTCCACAGTGGCTGGCACACAGGCACCCCAAAAAGTTTGTTGAGTGGTGAGTCTTCGCTAGCACCTCCAGACACAGTCCGTTTTATTCTCTTCGGAGTGGGAGAATCTGGGAGGATTCCAGAGGCCCATCCTTGTCATTTCACTAGACACTTCTTTTCCTGAAGATGGTCATTAGTCCTTTAGGTCCTCAGCACCGGCCCACCTGGGTTCAACACATGCTTATTAAATGGGCAAGTTGAGGTCCAGAGAAGGAAAGGTCACGTGCCCAGGCAGCTGCTCACCTGGCAGAACTGCGCTTCCTAGGCAGGGATCTTTCCATTGTATTAACGGGCAGGGCGGGCACTGTCCTATCACTGCTGTATCACTCCCAACACACTCCTTATAATGTACACGTAGGCTGCTAATATAAGCTTGTTGAATAAATTAAATAATTTCTTTTAATGCTTAGGTCATCTGGCTTCTGCATATGATATTATGTGTGTGTGTGTCTGTGTGGATCTGTGTGTCTGTCTGTGTCTGTCTGTGTGTGTATGTGTGTCCACATGGAGAGAGGGCTGACCATTCTTGCCCAGACTCACAGGTCCTAGTCCCTCAGTGAATCTTTCTGTTTTCGTTTTCTCAGCCACCTTCTACTCTTAATGCCCACTAGGGGGCATATATATCCCACAGAGGCGGCCTGTAGTCACTAGGTTCAAGGACTGCTTCTAGCTTGTCACTGGGTACCTCTTGAAGCCACCTCCTTAGTCCCCATGCCCTAAGCTCTCCCCCTGTAAAAACAAACAAAAGCAAAACCTTCCTCTTCAGTCTCCCCCGTCAACCCTCGCTGGGGTTGAAGGAGGCAACAGAGTGGCCGTGGCCATGGTTGAGTGATGACCTCACCATCTGTCACCCCTGCCAGCAGCCGCTGCATCCTCCCTGAGGGGGATGGCAGATCCTGGAGAGGCAGCTCTCCCCACTCCCCCAACTGGCAGGCAAGGACTCGCCCGCCTTTCAGGGCCCGGAGTCTGGTCTGCCTTCCAATGATGAGTTGCTGAAGAAAGATTCCTGCGAATAACCGTGGGAAACCCCGTCCAGCCTACCTGCAAAGGTGTCTCGGGGTGGGGCCACAGCTCATTCCTGGACCCTGGGGGATGGGTCATACCTGACTCTAGAACAGCGGTTCTCAACCTTTCACAGGGGTCACCTAAGACCATCGGAAAACACATATTTTCGATGGTCTTAGGAACTGAGACACCGCTCCTCTATCCGTCTCCAGGCCCACATGCAGATACGCCCACGTACGAGTACCCGGCGACCCCTGTGAAAGGGTCGTTCGACCCCCAAAGGGGTCGTGACCCACAGGTTGAGAACTGCTGCTCTAGACTCAGGTAGTCTTTGTCCCAAGAGCCTCACAGGCTTTAGCGTCACATTGCCCAGGTGCAGGTCCTAGCTTCACTAGCTATGAGTGATCTTGAGCAAGTTCTGTGAACTTCACTTTCCTTATTGGGTCAGTGAGGATAACAACGGTTCCTGCCTCATAAACAAGATGATGCTTATAAATCACTTGGCACAGTGCCTAGCACATAATAAGTGTTGGAGACATGTTATCCATTATTAATAATAGTAGTAGTAGTATCATTATATTAACATAAACCTCAGTATAAGCCACTAGGCCGTTCTCCTTTTTTTTTGGGGGGGGGGCGGTTAAAAGATTTTATTGGGGAATTGGGGGAGAGGAACAGCACTGGGGAAGGGGGACAGACAAGTTGCTGTCCTTTTGTTCTTCAGTCTAGTTGTGGAGGACGATGCTTCACTGGCCCAAGTTGGCACCATCATTGTGTTCTTCCCGGGTGAGGCAGATCGGTCGCCGGCCACTGGACGGCCACTCACAGCAGCTCTTGGTAGCTCATGCTGGCTGCCAGCCACTCACAGTAGCTTATGGCAGCCCACTGCAGCAGGGGCTGCAGCCTACGCATCACTGGCGACTCATGGCAGCCCAGCTCCAGGTCGAGCTGTTGTTCAGCATCTTATCTGTAGAGGGCGTAGCATCACTGGCCCTCATGTGGGATCCGAACCGGGGCCCTGCTGCTCAGAGCTGGTGTCCCAAGCCAACTCTTAACCAACGTGCCACTCGGCAACCAACGTGCCACTCGGCCGGCCCTAGGCCGTTCTTTTGAGGCTTCCAAAGAAACATTACTCTCCTCTAGCTCCTTGGGCTTCTTCCTAACAGTGAAGCCCCTGCAGAGGGGCCCCAGGAGCCTGCAGGACCAATGGGGTACCCTGCTTTCACGCCATTGTGCTTGCCTCAGATCAGGCACATGCCCACCTTTCTTGGACCAGAGCCTCTGCTACATACCCTCATCCGAGACCATCCTGCCCACTTACACACAACCACACATTTGGGATGGCAGGTACTCCCCGAGGTTGCATCTGCACCCTAGGGTGACTCAGGACAGCAGCAGCTGCTGCAGCTGCTTCGGCAGCTTCCTTTGCTCCCTCACCCACCCCACCACCTCATTAGCTGTCTGGTCATGTCCCAGTCTCCAGGAGAGACTGGCAGCAACCCTGAGTGTCAGCCACGGAAGTAGCAAGCAACAGCACCTCCCTGGGCCCGGCTGCTGCCCTCAGTCACCCTGCAGCTCAGAGCAGCCTTTTCCCTGTCACTCAGGCTCCCATCAGCGGAGAGATTAGCATTCAGACAGAGGATGGAAAAGCATCAGGGCGGCCACCTCCCGTCTTCCCTGGGAGCTGAGATTCATTCCAGGAGGCAGAGCCAGTTGTGGGGGAGGTGTCCAGGCCAAGACCCCCACTGGATGTCGGGACAGGGTTCTGAGCACACAGAGGCCAGAGCGGTGCCCTCTCATGCAGCCTTACTGGGTGCTGGGCCTTCCTAGGTGCCCCTAGCCTGCAGTTGCACCCTCTGCTGTGCTCCCATTAGTTTCAAAACGTCCCATGCCCAGCTATTGTGCGAGTGGAAAGACTGACGGGAAGGGCCCTGGCGTGCTGGTGAGCGACTCTAGCTGTTCTGAACCTACTACCTGTTCGGAAATGACTAATTGTTCTGTAACTGACAGTTCACAAACAATCATCCCAGTTCCCATGTTGAACACTTAGCACGCTAAGCACTTTACACACATTATCTAATTTAACCCTTACAGCAACTCTGTGCGGTGGACCAGGAGTGACCCAGCTCCCCGCCTCAGGTCTGTCTGAACCCCCTGCCTCCCATCATGGCCAGTCTACCAAGCCCCAGAACGTTCCTGCTCTCATTTCCAAGCAGCAGCTCTTCCCCAGGAAGTGGGAGGGGAGAAGGACTCGGCCTCTTGGGGACATTGGGTCCACCCCTGCCGTGGGCTTCACACCAACCTTTGTGACGGGAGACAGTGGACCGAGGAAGGGCACCTTAGTCCCTGGCAGCCTTCTGGAGAGGCGCGCCAGGCTCTGTGCAGATTGTGCAAAGCCCAGGGGTGGGAGAGCCCGGGAATAAGAGACGAGCGTGGGCTGGGTGTGTGGGGAAGGTGTAAACACAATCTGCTCCCACCACAGCAGCCTGCAGCCCCCAGGACTGAGCCCCTCCCTCCCAGCCCACATGGACCCCAGCTGCTAGGGCCCCAGCAGCCTCCAAGCCCCGGCAGACACATCCCCCCATCGCCAGCAGCCCCTTCCTCTCTTTCCCTCCCTTCATCCAGAATGCATCCCTGGAGGAGCCGCCATCTCCTGAGCAGGTCCTCTGAACAGTGCTGCAAAGGGGTGTCGCTTTGTGGATGTGTGTCTGGGCTGTGAGCCAGCCTCGCTACGGCTAGGTGACCTTGGCCTGACAATTCCTCGGACCAGTGGAAAGAGACAGACAACTTGGAAATGGCAGAGAGCAGAGGCAAGGATGAAGTGACAGGAACATGGCAAGCAGAGAATGAATGCAAAGATAGGATCAGGGAACATAGACCTGTTGGGAACAGTGCCCTCTGGCCCTCAGCCTGACAGTCCTTTCACCAGGAAGGCAGATGCCTCCCAGTAGAAAGACAGGCTGACAGGAGCTGAGACAGGTGGCACAAGCTCACAGCCCCTGTCAAGTGGGCAGTGGGGCTCAGACGTGGTCCCAACACAGAGCTTCAACCCCTTATGCGACCCTTCCCCTACCCCGACCTGCCCCACTTTTAGGGCTTCCACAGAGCTGCCAGCTCCCTGCAGGATCAGTGCCCCTCCCCCATGGCTTCAGAGTGGGTCCCCTCAGTCTGTAGCATCTCACCCTTTCCTTCCTTCCCTTCAGATGTGAGGTGCTGCTGTCTAGAAACTGCCCCATCTCCTGCTTCACGAAACTCAGGGGCAGGGGCCAGCCAGGCAGAGACCTCGCCGCTGGGTGGGCAGCAGAGGCTGGGTGGGATGGAGAGGTGCGTGTGTGGGGGGGCCACTTGGGAAGATGAATGGCTTCAAGAGAGTCGTGAGCAGCTGCCTGCAGGGTCTGCGTCTGGACCTCAGGGAGCAGAAGCGGAAATCTGCTTTTATCTCTGCTCAGGTTTGGGCAGATTGTAAAGAGAGAGATGGCAGAGCAGCTGGGGGCAAAGGAGGCCTCCACAGTTACTGAGCAGTCAGCAGACTGACAAAAACAAGTGTCATGCTTTTTCCCTTCCCACATGCTACTGCCCATTTGGAACACAGGCACGCATGCACACACACTCCGAAAACACATTCAGAGGACAAGCTGTGGGCTGCTTCCACCCAGCTCTAGGCAGACCTGTCACAGATCCAACTGGCATGTCTTATTGATAATTTCAGCAGAGCAGCCAGTGACACGGTGAGCTCTGGGGACCAGGGAGAGGCACATGCCATAGGCAGTGAGTGCCACCATGGCAAAGTGACACCACACAGCCCTGGACCACAGCTGAGGTTTAACAGTGTGGCCCCTGATTTGCAGGAGAGGCGTCCAGGTCAGGAACCCCATCCCTCAGGGAGCAGCCACCAACTTCCAGGTGCGGCCTCCTATGAGCCCAGGGTCCCCCACTTACTAGGGAGGCCACACTGGGTAAATTAGCTAGCTTTTCTCTGTGTGCCCTCATTTCTAAAATGTGGATAATACTATGACTAGTCTCCACGGGTTATTGTGAGGATTAAATTGGAGAATGAATGGGAAGCCCTTCCTGGGTAAATGCGAACTGTCAGCTGTCCCTCCCTTTGGAGTCCCCCACTCCCCACGTGTTCTTCCCTCTAGCCTGAGCTGCGGGGCTGAGATAACCCAGTGGACCCCACTGAGTCTCTGTCTCTGGGCCAGCTTCAGAGGTGCCTCAGGGACTCAGAGGAGGGGAGCCCATCCCAGAGCCCCGAGCACCTCAGCCCCTCAGCCCCTCCTGCCAGCCCCTGCCAGGCCTGGCCTCAGGAGTCCCCCAGCCAGGGCCTGGTGAGAAGTGAGGACCCGCGGGTCCAGGGGCAAAAAGGGAGCAGTCTACCTTCTCAGTTGCTGCTTTTCCTCATCCTCCCTCCCGCTGCTGCTGCCTCCACCACAGCAATCCCCTGGGGGAGGGGGCAAACCAGGACTTGAGCTGAAACAAAACCAAACCACATGGGCACTTTCTCCTGTGCCCAGGCGGGGGCTTGCCCTGCAGAGTGGACGGTCCAGAGCACTGCCTGTCCCTTAGAAGTCCTAGCACTGCCCTCAGGCCCCCAGTATGACCACCACTCATCCCCAAGCCTAGAAAACACTGTGAAGCTCACACGTGGTGCTCTAAAAACTAACCCTTGCCCCGGCCGCAAACCTAACGGATTCAAGGTAGGAGCAGATGGAAGGAGTCCACCTCCTAGTGTCAGCCTCCGCCGATGACCATGGAGCTGAAGGTGGTCTGCTCCACGCCCACGTGGCCAGGCCTTGCATGTCCTTCTCTGGCCCCAGCCCTGCCCTCTGCCCTCCAGGGCTTGCAGCCCTGGCCTACCTGCCTCGGCCAGCTGGCCCCAGTTCCTGAAGAGGCGAGGCCTTACTTCAGAGGCTCTTTCTCCCTAAACAGAGAAAAGCATGGGAGTCGGAGGATTGGAGAGGACAGCCCTCCCACTGTTCCAGCCTTTCTCTTCCTCACACCCCATGCCTCGCTTGCTCACGTCTCACGCCCCACTATTGAGGGGCAAGAGCACCCAAGAAACCAGCTGGAATTTACAGCTGTGGGCCTGGAGAGCAGAAATGTCACCCCTTCCGCCACCCTGGGCCAGCCCTCCGTGGCTGCCACCATCAGTGGGAGGTGTTAGACGTCAGGCCAAGTTTTCCAGTTCACTGGGTCCCAAGGAGTTAATAGGCAACTGACTCCTTCTGGCTAGGCCACAGCAGGCCAGGCCTGCCCAGATGGTCCCAGAGTTGGCCTTTCCTTTCCTGACAGGAGGTCCAGGCCCATTCCATGTAGAGGAGACGGACGGCCAAAAGCCAAGGGCCTGTCAGTCCCATGTCACCCACAAACAGGATGGATGACCTTGAGCAAGTAATTGAGGCCACCCTGTCCCTCCATTTCCTCTACCGTTAGCGAGGTAGCAACGCTTGTCCTGCCAACCCTCTGGGGCTACTGAGACTTCTGAGTAAGTTAATACATGAACAAGCCCCAGGGACGCATAAGGCACTGATCAGTATGAGATAGTGACAAGAGAAGAGCTGGCATTTATTGAGCAGTTACTCTGTGCCAAGGGCTTCCTAACAGTTAATTAAACCTCACAGAAACCTCACCACTCTGTTATTAATCCCAGCATACAAAAAAAACAAAACCAAAAACAAAACCATTATATAATTTGCCCAAAGCCTCTCAGTTGGTAAGAGAAGAGCCAGGATTTAAACTCTGCCCAACTCCAGACCCAAACTCAACAGTGAGGACCAGTCAGCACTTGTGGGCCCCCTCTGTGTGAAGCCCAGTGATGGTCATTTTGTATATGTCATCCCATTTCATCAGCAGTAGTAATCAGCTGCCCTAGATGTCCAGGGAGGGTTTCACAGAAATGCCCCTGTTTCCCACACATGCCTAGGACCCCCCAGTGGGCCTTCTGACATTTGGGACCAGGAGAATCAGGGACGGAGACATAGAGAAAGACTCAAGTTTTCTGCCTTGCCGGTCTCCACACATCTAAGGGGCACTTTGCGGGCAGGTTCCACAGCCTGAAAGAGACATGGGGGTGCACAGACACGCATGCCTGCTGACTGTGCCAGCCATCCAAACCCTCTGGGGAGACACCCTCCCTCCAGCGGCCCTGGAACCTACAGAGCGTTATACTTTTTGTTTCACCAGGAGCGAGCAAAGCAGTGCCAGGGGCGAGCAGACGCTTCTGCAGGGGACAATGCCACTCTTCAGATCAGTCTCCCACACTAAGTGGGTCCATAGGTACAAAGGACATTTCCAACAGTGTGTTCTTAATAAACACTGGTTGAGTTTTCAACATTTTATTCGGCATAGGAGCCCCTATCATCAAAGGACACTGATCACCCAGGGAAGGAAAAGTCCGGAAGTTCCCCAAACTTCACCCCTGGTACAGACCACATGACCAGCCTAGGGAAGAGTTAACTTTCTGGCCACAGGAGACAGCGTCCCGCCCGCAGGGGCTGCCCAGCCAATGACACTCCGTGCTGATGATGTCATGCCCCTCCTGCGCCTTCTATTGGGGACTGGACAGCGAATGGTTCAGGCAGGGGCGTCTCTGAGGCTGTGGGGCAGCAGGAGAGGGAGGGGGAAGGGAAGGCAGGCAAAGCCATGCAGAGCGGCTTCTGCCTCATCCCTCTCTCCACTCCCCCAGAGCCTGCTGGAGAAAAGACGCTGGGGACCACCCCGCACTCTCGGACAAGCAGAGCAAAGCAAAGCAGCTGTGGTCCAGAGGAGAGGCTGGGAGCTCCCATTCCCAGCTGCAGAAAACAGACACTGAGCCTGCCCACCAGGCACACAGGGAAGGGGGGGTGCAGCACAGAGCGCGTGCGCACCCATGTACACCCTCCCAGGCATGGACAGGGATGGGACGGGCAGCCTCCTTCGCAGCGTCCTCCCTCCTTCACCCCAGACTCTTCTGCCTTACCTGCCTGGGGGCTGGGAGTCTGTCTCCAAGGTGCTGCCCAAAACTGCCCCATCTACTCCACTGGGCTCTCTGTAAGAAGGAAGCACAGGTATGAAGAGCTGTGGGCCAGACCCCAGACACCTTTTCCTGCTTCTGGGCAGGACCTAGTCACATCGGCCAGTGTCTTTGAAGAGCTCCAAGTCCCCTACTCTGAGGGGGAGCCTCTCAGGGATTCCTCGCCTCCCTGGAGGTCCAGGCAGCCCCTGCCCACCTTCAGCTCCGTGTAGCCCAGCCAAGCAGTTTCTCCCCCAGCCCAGCCCATGGCCCCGTCAGTTTCTCACGGTTGGACTCGGTTGGCGAATCGTTGGCGCCAGAGCATAGCCAAGGTGCTGAGCAGGAAGAGGGTGGTGCACATGGCTCGGCTGCCCCATCCCCTCCCAGGGGGAGTCAGTCTGTGAGGAAGGCCAAGGTGGCCCTGCCAGCTCTCCAAGCCACTGCTGTGTCCCGAGGTTCCTGCTGGTGCTGGATTAGGAGGCTCAAGCTGATTAGTGGGGTCGGCAGACCTGACCTTGTGAAGATGACCGATTAGCTGAGCTGGGCCAGCATGTTTCCGAGGGCAGGTACATCGACTTGTCTGTTCTGGTTGTAGACATGACTAAGACACGGGCCTGGCCTCGAGGGGTGTATAGTCCACACAAACACACTGACAAGTTAAACGATGACCACAGGAGAGTGAGTTAGGCCTTTAAAGGCACCTACAGGACCCTTTGGGACTTGCAAGCATCAGGGGAAGCCTCAAAGGGGCTGGAGGCATCTGCATGTGCAGGTCCTTGAGGAAGGGTGGGCCCTCAGGCAGAAAACCCTGCCTGGGAGAGCGCAGGGCATGTTCCAGCAGCTGGAAGCTGGGTGGCAGCAGGGCAATGATGTCACAGGGGAGGCAGCAGGAGGGGAGGACTAGTGAAGCCAGGGAGACAAGGGAGGCCAGGGAGTGAGGGGCTGGCTAAGTGGTTCAGCTCGACCCTCTGGACAGCCCTCTCCAAACGTTTCTGATTACATGCCCTCTTCAGTAAAAGGCAGAATTTCAGTGTGCACTCACGAACTAGATCAATGCATCGACTTATAAAGATATACTACGCTACTGTGCAAATACAGTCCTGTACCATAGACATATGTAAAACTTGTAAAGGATGAGATAGGAATAAACAGAGATAAGATTTCTTCTACTTCCACACCTTGGTAGAATTTCTTGGGCAGCCATTTGGAAGGCTTTGGGAAACTACCAGAGGAGTTTAGTGAGATGGCCCCGTGCAGTGTGCTCAGTGTAGGCCAGGCAGGGCAGGGTGCCCAGGCAACGGCAAGGGGGCCCAAAGTGAGGACATGGGTGTGAGAGTGATGCAAGGAACTGAGCCCGCCCGCTCCCGTCCATCCCCTTCCAAGACCCCAAAAGAAGGCTAGATCTTCCTTCCCTCAACCAAGATGGAGGCAGTGTCAAGAGGCCGCCCGCCCAGGTTTCCAGTAACGCACCTGAACCCTGCACCCCAAGGAGGGCCAGAGCTGGGGCTGTCCCTGGGTTCTGTATCCTGAAATATGAATTTTAAAATAAACACATAAAGCAAAGCTGAAAAGGACAGCCAACCTCTTGCGATATTTGAGCAGTGGGACACAAAGTCTCAAGAAAGGCAGGGTCCCCAGGAAGCCTTAGGGAGAACGGGACACACCTGCAGTGTGCCAGTTTCAGACACTGCAGCCGTGTCTGGCATCAGGCTTCCACTGGGAGTCAGAGGTGGGACCTGGCTGTCCCAGGACTACCTGTGGTTGCCAGAGGCACAGTCCCTACTCTGGTCCAACGGTACTCACATCTCCCAGAGCAGAGCCACCAAGACAAGAATTTGTCATCTCCACCCCCCAGAACCCCTCCCTACTAGGAGCCTTGGTGGCTGAGATGTCTCCAGCAGCCTCGGCCTCCCCAAGACCTCCTGGCCCTCCCAGGTCTGTTTGCCCAGCCCTGCTGCCTCTCCTTCTGACTTCGCTCCACCCTGGCCTGTCTGTGTCATTAGTAAGCCCCCCAGGGACTTCTTTCCGACGCAGAGGGTGTGCACCAAGGGGCTGGGGGTGCTGGTCGGGAGGAAAGCGCGCAGGCCCCTGGCGCTCAAGTTTGACAGCGGTGCCCCATCCCTACAGCGGTGGATTCCACCTAAGGTACTGGAGCAGGGAGACTCCAGCCGGGAGACGACCCAGTCCTAACCTTCCGGAGCCGGGGGTCCGGAACTCTGGGAGAGGCGCCGCAACACCCAGTGGCTGGTTTGGGAGAGGCCAGGAGCCAGCGGGAGCTCAGCTCGGACCGCCGCGCCACCGGAGGGGTTCGCGTACCCCACCTCTGGCCGGCAGCCACACCGCTAATGCCTGGGAGTGTATGACTTTGAATCAGTTCCCCGCCGCGTGAAGGGTGCACACACGCACGCGTCCCAACTCCGCTCGCAGCGTGAGCCGGGGCGCGCCGCACCCGCCCGGGTGCACTCCTGTGCGACCCGCACCGCCCCGCGCCGCGTGACCGCCCCTCCCCCGGGGACCCCCCGGCACAGCCGCCACACCCACGCCCCAGCCCCGCCCCGCCCCGCGGGCAAACTCCGTGGGGTCCTTGCCGGCTGGCGGACGAGCGCCGGCGGCGTTGTCTCCACCCTGCCCTGCCTTCACCTTGCAGGAATTGGCTCACAGACACGGGGTTGGGGGATTGGAACGGATTTGTTTTTTTAACATTTTCCCGTCAGACGACATCCCCGCCCCCCGCTCGCGGTCCCCCGCCCCCTGCACATATATCCTGCGCGCAGACACACACACACACACACGCGCGCGCGCGCGCGCACACACACACACACACACACCCGGCGCGCACAGACAGACACGCTCCCTCCCTCCGGCGCGCTCTACCCCTCGCCCGCCCGCCCGCCCGCCGCACACGCAGCCGCTCCGGCTCCCCGCGCCCTGCGCTCCGCTCTCCGCCGCCGCCGAGCGAAGCCGGACTGGGCTTGGTGCTGCTCATGGAGAAAGTGCCGTGCGAGATGGAGACTGAGCGCAGGGAGCGGAGCGAGGAGCTGTCCGAGGCGGAGAGGAAGGCGGTGCAGGCTACGTGGGCCCGGCTCTATGCCAACTGCGAGGACGTGGGGGTGGCCATCCTGGTGAGGTAGGTGTCGCCCCAGCCCCGCCGGGCCCGGGGGAGGGACGGTGGCAGCGGCCCCGGGCAGGGCGGGCTCGGCCAGGGTCTGAGCTCCGGCGCCACCTCCCCAGCTGCGACTGGGGCCCCGCGGCCGGTGGGATGCGTTCAGCGAGGGGCGCCTTGGGTGGGCGAAGCCCTGGCTGAGCCCTGCCTGGCTCTGGGTGCCGGGCTCACCAGGAACTAGGAACCACATGCAGAAAGAGGGTACCTCTGTCCCCCTCCTCTCCTGGCCTCAGAACTCCAAGCTCAGCCAGTCATGCCTTTCTCATCAACGACCCCAGCCACCCAGCCGCGGTTATGGACACACATTTTAACAGCCTTTCAAAGGGGAGCGTCAGTGGGGGCTCCCCATTTTAGAGAAGGGAAAACTGAGGCGTAGCCCAGAAGGGGGGCAGAGGGAAGCAGAGCCCTCTCTCCAGCTCAACCCCTTGAAAGATTTCAAAGCCTCTTGGAAGAATAGTGCAAAGGACAAGAAAATAGAGGTCAGAAGGAACAGGCTGAGGTCCAGTTTTCCCAGCAGGTCCTTCCTGCCCCTAGGGAGTGGGCCAGCAGGGAGCTCCCAGGTGAGGCACAGGTGAGCGGAGGAGCACACAGTCCCCTAGGCTACATCGCTACTGAATCCATGGAGGGAACGGGAGAAGCCACAGGAGGCAGGGCCCCACCCTGAACCTGCCACCTGGGGAGGAAAGGCCACATGTGTTGGGCTCAGGGGTCATCCCAGCATTGCATGCCCTGGAGGAACCCACATACACAGCGACAGCGTTATTCACACAGCCCTATACCGGTGCACACACCATTCCTGCATAGTAGTGTCCCCAAGCCGGTAACTGACTGTCGCTACAGATCTGTGCTTACTTCCCACACGTGCTGGTCCCTGGGGGTGGCGGCAAAGGGGACCCAGACCACACTCACCTCGAACCCCTGTCCTTGGCAGGGAGAAGCAGTCAAATCTAGGACAGGGCAGGACAGTCTTATTTGAAGATGGGATGAGACCTCATGGAGAGGACTGATGAAGTGCACGCCTGTCTCCCCATCTCTGGCTCCTCTTTCTCCCCCACACTTTCTCCCTTCTGCCTCCCCCAAGCCTGGGACCTACCCAGCTCCTTATTGATATGCCCTGATTCCAACTTAGAAACAGATTTTGGGGGAAAAAGAGCAAGAGGCACCCTTGAGGAGCTGGAGGACGATTCCTGAGGAAGGGGCAGCTATTTCAACCCCTGGGGAGGAGAGATGGGGGAGAAGCTAAGAGGGGGTTTCAGAGCCTGAAGCCATCAGACCCTGGGACATGCAGATCCCATGTGCAAGCACCCAGACGGCTCACGGAGTCCCCAGTGGGCCAGACAGCCTCCCTGGGGGGCAGCTCTCAGCCGTGTGCAAGCTCCACAGCCTACCAGGCCTCAGAATGCATGGGTACACCCAGGGGTCACCAAGGGGAAACGAGGCAGAATCCCCAGGATGGACCTTGGAGGGCCTCCATGCCCTCCCCCACCCTTGTCATTTGCCAGTGAGAGCATGTAGCAGATGTGTGCAAGACCCAGCTCCTGGGGCACCCAAACTCTCCAGGAGTGGGGGCACACAGAGGAGGGAGCTGAACGCAGACAGGGCTGACCTGTTTCTGGAGAGTGGGCTCTTGGCCAGGTTTTATTTCTCTCTCTGCACCCCTCTAGTGCCCCATTCCTGACTCTTAGGGGATCCAGGACTGGGCTGGGGGCGGTGTTTGCCAAAGCGCTCAGTGCTCTGAGAGAGACCTGCGGTTAATGTGAGAAGGCCTGAGACAGCAGTTCCATGGGCCTGCTGATAGCCCCGTGCCACCCTTCACCTGACCCCACCTCTGTGTTGAGGGGCACCCAGCTCCTCCCTGCCAGCCCCAAGTCCCACCAGCTCGTCCTCCTGCTCTCTGCCCATTTTGGGGGGACGGGGTTGTTAAGACGGTGTAAGGGCAAAACTGATAAGCCGCCCCCCAGATCCTGTGCCCCTCAGTTTTGCCACAACCCCTCCTATCTTTCCGCACCCATCCACAAGGACAGGCCCCAGTGAGCGCCTGAGACACTAGCCCTCCGACCATCACTCTCACCTCCTCCCTCTGCACTGGGCTGAGGCCAGGTGCACCCCCACCCCAGGAGTTAGCAGCCACAATGCTGGTGGTGGTGGAGGTGCTGCCTGCGGGTCTGACCACACACCTCCACCACTCCCTGCCCGGGAGAACAGGAAGGGCACTCCCAGCCTCTAGGAAGGCCTATTTCAGGCTCTCCTGGAAGCCCAGATGCCTCTGGGAGCTGAGAAACCTCCAAAGGCTGGCTGTTGAGCCTTCTTCCCAGCAGCACAGGCCTGGACGGGGAGGCTCAGGAGTAAAAACACCAAGGGGCTGGGGTGAAGGAAGGAGTGGAGCACGTTGCCCCCAGACGCCCCTGGCCCAGGAAGAGGAGTTCCTTGGGATTGTCATTGCTCAGGACCATAATCCAGCGCTGGGTGTTGAGGCAGGAGACTTATCTGGGTCCCATGCCACGACAATACCCCCCCACACACACACACCACCACTGCAGTCTCTCAGAGGCAGCGGGGGAAACTGTCAAAGCAGGGGCTGCCAGGCTCCTTCCTGGCCCTGCCACCCACTCCACCAACTTCACTGGGCAACCTTGGGCATCAATTCCTAAAGCAGAAGGTGCCGATGTCAGGAGGGTATCGCAAGGATTAATGAGACTCCGTAGGAAATGCTCAGTAAGTATTTCCTGGTCTTTCCTTATCAGTAAGATGGATGTGAGACCTGCTTAACCGCGTCAATGAAACGAATGATAGGAGGTGCTCTGCACATTGTAACACACCAGGCAAATAGAAACCATCGTTTCTTTTGTTTACAGTGTAAGCCCCCCGAAGTCTGAGATCCTCATTTAAGTCCAAATCGTTTGTCCTTCATTTCAATACTTCTCCAGAAAAATCCAAAGCATTTTCAGACTGCTTGCCTCCTCTGCCCTCACCAGCACATCTGTGAAGCAGTGAGCGGGAGGGACTCCTCTCACACTTTTGCAGACAGGAGGTTGTGAAGTCGTTTGCCCAAGGTCACACTTGGCCTCCAAAAGGGACCCTCGGGGGTCTGCACATGGACTGTGTCCTAGTCACTCCCCTGCCATCAGCAGCTGTGCCCGCCAGGATGGCCTGGGCCAGATGCTCTCTCTGCATCTGTTCCAGCTCTCAGATCTGAGCCTTGACCTCCGGCCAAAGGGCTGTTTTGGTAAATTATCAGCTCTCCGATCACAAAGGGGGGACACTCCAAAATAAGAAACAACCTAAAAAACAGGTCCAAGACATTCCATACATTTTCTGAGGCTTCAGAGAAGTTACGTAAGTTCTGATTGAGTATGTGGACGAACCTCCCATGGTGACCAGCCCTGGTGGTCAGCGTGATTCTGCAGACACAGGGCCCTAGGCTGGGGTGGCAGGTCACAGGGTGCATGAGACCCTGGTTCTGCCCTTGGGCTGTGGAACCCAGTAAAAGGTGGCAGGGAACCCGCCGATGGCCTTGAGGGGAAAGCAGTAGCCCTGGGCGAACGTGGACATGATGTCAGAGAAACGAGTGTGGACACGTCTGTGGGTGGACAGTTTGTAAGAAGCCTGGAATGCCAGGTCGAGGACTTTGACTTTGTCCAGTAAACAGCAGGGAGACACTGAATGTTTAAGCATGAGAGTGATGTAATAAACGTGATATTTGAGGGGGCGGGGTAGACAACTTCGAATAAACAGAGGTAAGGGGCTAGAGCTAGAAAGACCGGGGGTCGGCTCCAAGAAGTACAGAGGCTTGTTGGGGAGGTGAGATGTTAGGACGTGGAGTAATTTCAGAACCTTGTCAGGCAGGCAAAATCAATCATTGTCTTTAAGTCAATCACTAAATCAATATTCACTGCAGACCGAGGAGGGAGGCAGAGGAGTGAAGAGGGGGGAGAGGAGCTGGGGGGAGAAGGGCTGAGCGTCATGTCCTCCCTCGTGCGCTGGGGGACCTGGGCTAAGTCACTCCCGCTTTACTTTGTTTACAAAGCACTCAGACTTGGTCATAATAAAGGCTGGCATTTCCTGAGCCCCGCGCTGCTTCTCATTTCATCTTCATAAAAACCCGCAACAAGATAGGCACAAGGATACCCACTTCGTGGATGAGGAGACCGAGGCTTGGGGAAGTTACACAACTTTCCCAAGGCCACACTGGCTCATGATTCCAGAAATAAAGCTCTTACCCTCTCGGCTGTGATGGGAGCTGGCCGTGAAGGGTGCATAGGGTTTGGGAAGGAGGCAAGAAGCAAGGAAGGCAGAGGCCTGGGAGATGAAGCTGCCAGCCCGCGTGAGTCGGGTGGAAAGAAATGGCCAGGACCTGGGTAGGGGGCCGCGTGTCAACCAGCTGGGCCAGAGGAGGGGCTGTGAGCGAGGGACGTGGTGAAGACAGTTACCGGGTGAGTCCTGCCTCTCCCAGCCTTGGGCCTCCGTGTCCAGGCCGCTTCAGGCAGCCCCTGCTCCAGCGCCCACCCCCTCCCGCCCACCAGGTTCTTTATGAAGTTCCCATCTGCCAAGCAGTACTTCAGCCAGTTCAAGCACATGGAGGACTCCCAGGAAATGGAGAAGAGCCCCCAGCTGCGGAAGCACGCCTGCCGGGTCATGAGGGCCCTCAACGCCACCGTGGAGAACCTGCACGACCCCGAGAAGGTGTCCTCCGTGCTTGCCCTGGTGGGCAAAGCCCACGCCCTCAAGTACAAGGTGGAGCCTGTGTACTTCAAGGTATGACACCCCACCACCCACCCTGCTTGCTTCAGAGCACCCCAGGGCCCACGCGGCACCAGCAGGCTCTGGGTGGGCTCCCTGGAGCAGCAGAGGTGACCACTGGGCCTCCCAGCTTCTCCCCTAGGAGGGGGCTGCCACAGGGAGGCCGAGCAGGGTAGGGGCTGGGTCTTGAGGGTGTCTGGTTCCCAGAGCTGCCAGGCTGTGTCACAAACAATTTCCTCAGCCAAACACCAGGTAGAAAGGGGGCGGGGGGCGGGGCGGGGCGGGGTGCCCAGGCGTTTACTCCCCATGCTTCCCTTTGCCCCCAGATCCTCTCTGGGGTCATTCTGGAGGTGATCGCCAAGGAGTTTGCCGACGACTTCCTGCCAGAGATGCAGAGAGCCTGGGCCAAGCTGTGTGGCCTCATCTACAGCCACGTGACTGCTGCCTACAAGGAAGTGGGCTGGGTACAGCAGGTCCCCAACGCCACCACGTGAGGAGGGGTGAGGGTGGGCCGTGTCCTCCCCTGTCCCCTGATCCCCCATCTATCCCGAGGCCCAGGGCTGACCGCTGGTCAGAAACGCTTCCAGGATGCTGGGTCTGGGACAGGCACAACAGGAAAAGGCCGCCTCAAGCCCAGGCCCCTGCTCCCGTAAGCCCTAAGCAAATTCCCCTCCTGGGGAAGAACAAATTCCCCTCCCCTAGAACAGGGGTGTTCAGAGCACCCCAAGACAGCAGCTGCCCGGGGCAGAGAGGCACAGAAGTTTCCTGGCAGGAAGGCTGGCTCATGGGGCCCAGAGGCAGCCGGTGGTTCCGGCCATTTCCTCGCTGGGCAGCAGTCACATGGGGCTGTTTTCACCTAAGGCTGACAGGCGTTCTCTCCCACCTCTGCCTCAACACAGCCCGAGCCAGGAGAGTCACAAGGACATGTACACATGCCTGCACCACCCAGGCCCACACAGGCCTGTGTGGGTGTCACTCTCACGCACACCAGCAGGGGTGTTTACTTCTGGGCTGACCCCTGAGGCTCAGTTCCCAGTTCTGGGGTGAGGGCTCAGGAGATGGCTCGAGGCGGGTGGCCGGCATCAGTGACTCCAGCTGACTCGGAACACGAGGGGAGGGCGGGCCCCCAGACATGGCGGCTGGGAACACTCCGGCCTCCCTGGGCCTTCAGGGGGCGGCTGGCTCTGGGAGCTCAATGGAGGGGTGGAGGCAGGGCTGGAGTAGGAAGGAGGGCAAGGAGCGGAGGCGGGAATGAGAGGCAGGGGTCAGCCAGCAGCTCAGGACACGCGTTGTGGAAAGACATTCCCAGTAGTTTCCCATGGAAAAGGCGGCGTCTCCTCCCTGGGATCAGAACTGGCCCCCGTCGCCAGACCTCCTGCTCACAGTCCTCCCTTGCGGGCCCAGCTCCGAAAAGAAGGTCCCCTGAGGGCCGCCTGGGGAGGCCAGGCCTCCTGACCTTCCTGCGGCTGACCACACTGGCCCCAGCCTTCTCCTGCTCTCTTCCCTGTAAGGCACCACCCCAGGAGAGCCGGAGTCCTCAGGAACTGCTGGCTACAGCCAGGGAGCGACTCCAGATGTGCACAGCTGGGCCCTGGCCTGCCCCCGACTCTGGGCGGATGGGAAGTAGGCAGGAGATTTTTACCTGCCCGAGGAGGCGCTGGCAGAGCCGGGAGAGCTGCTGGAAGTAGCCAGAGGGGCCAGGAAGGGGTCACTGGGGGACGGGGGCTTGCCCTCCCACGCCTCTCCCCAGGCAGGCTCTGCTGCCAAAGATGAGTTTGTTTACAGCCAGGAGACAAGACTTCCTGCTTCTAGAGAAAAGGACTTTTTTACAGGGGCCTAGAGGGACCGGAGAGAGAGCAAACTGGCCAGCGTAAGCCCCAGTGAATCAGAAACACATGGACATGTTTCCCGACACAGAGCCCTGTCCCCTCCCCTTTCTTGCCCCAGCTGGACCCCTGGGACTTAACTCTCACCAAACTCCAAGCATTAGGAAACTGCCCAACTCTCCTCATCTGCCCTGTTCTGCTCCTTGCAGACTGAATAAAGATGCCTTCCCCGGGGAGTGGCTGGGTCCTGTCCCACCTGGGCCTTGCCACCTGGCGTTTGGGTTACCCTTGAGCTGGGAAGTCATGGGGATTGCCCTCTCATCCCTTCGCAAGCTGTCCCTCTGACCTTCAGAGCACATGGTTGTGACCCCCAAGAAGGCGTATCTCCCTGGGCCGGTGCCTGTGGACTCAACCTACTGCCAAGGTCCCAGGGGATTCAGAGGGTGGGAGGAAGTGACTGAGCAGAGTTCTGGAAGGCCTCCATCCGACTCCTCTTATCAGGAACTCAGTGGTGGGCCAGGCGCCTCTGTTTATTGAGCTGTCTCTGCTTAAGGGTGTGTGTGTGCACGCGTTTTTTTTGTGGGTGGGGGAGTGGGGAGGTGGGGCGCGGTGGTGAGTGCAAAGAGCTGCCTGTGCAGAGAAGACCTATGGTGGCCTCCGGGGAACCCAGACAGGCCAAGCAGAGAGCGCTTGCATGTCAGAATCAATAGCAAAGAGCTGACATTTGTACAGTTCCCTCTCTGCACTTTGTGAAACACTTGGCCTCACACCATTCTCACAGAGCTGGACAAGGCAGGCAGTCACATTTTAGAAAGATCCGGGGTTCAGATGACTTGCCTGAGGTCACACAGCAGGCTCCTAGGAGATGAACTTGGGCCTAGTGGGCTGTTCTCATCTGCACTGTGCCAGGTCACAGCAGGTGGTGTCCTGCCTTGCGGGGCTGTGGGTGTGTGTGTGTGTGTGGGGGGGTGTCGGGGAGGGGGTTGCTCCCTTACCCCTGTCCCCTTGCTGGCCTCTGGTCCCTTGTAACCTGTTGCCTCCATCTCCTATCTTGTCCACAGCCCGCCGGCCACGCTGCCCTCTTCGGGGCCATAGGACCCCCGCTCTCCTCCCCCTTCCCTGGCAGCACCTTGAGCAGAAGGCCCAGTTCTGAAGACCGTCCTTGAGCCTCCATTTCTGGGTGCCAAGGAAGCTGGAGGAATCCCTGACTCATCTTCCTGGAAAGAGGCCTCTGCCCCAGCCACAGTCCCCCTGGAGCTGCCAGGAGGTGGCACTGGCTGCCTAGATGCTGACTCAGTAGGCACCGATGGCAGGTGGGGGTGGCGGACCCTTCCTCCTTGAAGAGCTGGGCCCACTCTTCTTAGCTTTTCTACTCACTGTTAGAGACCTAGCTGAGCAGCGGGCAGGAGTCGGGGACAGGTCTGCGAGTCACTGCGGGAGAACACCAGCCCCGTTCCTGTCTGCCCGACCAGCATGCAGGCCTCTACATCACCTACGTAGAGTATTACGCACACATATCTACCATATATACAGATATATTCTCTATACAAGCTCTATATAAATATATATACATACATACATATCTATAAAGCATATGTGCGGGGCCCGGAGGTCACGTGAAACCTCCGTTCAGCTCACCTGCGCGTGGGGCAGGAAGGGGGCCTGGTCACGTTTCTGGGAGAGAACAGTGCTCTGGCAGAGATGGAGGTCCCACAGCAGCACAGAGAGGACCTGGGTCTGTGGGCAGAGTTGGGGTGACCCGGGGGCCTGCGTGGGCAGGGTTGGGATGACGCAGCTTGCCAGGAAACCCAGCCCATTCTCGGACCAGTTCCCCACATTCCTCCTTTCCACTTCCAGACAAGAAGGGTTTGGCTCTCCCCACCTTTACCCCCCACAAAAGGATGTGGCTCCCTGTCTTGCTCCAAAATGGGCAAGAGCAGACAGAGGGACCAGCAGTTCTGGACAGGATGACTGTGCTGGGGGAGGGGCTGCAGGAAAGAAACCTGGAATGCCAGCCCCATCTGCCTTTGCCACTAAGACAACCCTGGCGGGACACACACACACACACACACACACACACACACACACACACACACACACACACACACACACACACACACACACACACACACACACACACACACACACACACACACACACACACACACACACTGATAACAGGGCCAGATGCCTCCATCTCATCCTGGAGCTCTGAGGGCCAAGGGCCTTTCCTCTCCCGGCCCCTCCTGGCTGCTGGCTGGCAGTCGGCCCTCTCCATCATCTGGGTCAGAGTCGCTGGGGACTGCCCCTTATGTGTGCCCCTTGGTCACGTGTATCGTCCTCAAGGATGTTTTGCTGCTGTGGCTGGTGCGCCTGTGTCCCCTCCTGTCCCATCCGCGTGCAGCCATCGTGTGACTGCCTGCTCTCCTTTTGTAGTTTCTGATGTTTGTAACCAGACCCAGCCTTGTCATTAAACAGACTTGTTCTTCCTGTGTCTGTTCACGATCATTTGGTCTTTTCCTGCCATCTGCCCCTCGCCTGTCTTCCCTCCTAGTCCCTCCGTAGTTCAGGGCTTGGGCCTGTTCCTGAAAGCTCCCGGCCCACTGCTAACCTGTGTCTCAACCTTGGCTGGTCACGGAGCCCTCTGAGGGGGGGCTTATGACTGCGGTGGGGGCTCTGACCTGTTTAACCAGGAGCACAGGGCTGGAGACTGGAAGCGGGGCCTTGTGTGTGTGTGTGTGGGGGGGGGGCTGGAAAGGAAGGGTGTCTGTGCTTGTTTAAAAAAGTCAGGGGGCTTTGCTGCTCAAGTTACCTGCAGTGGGTCAACCCTTGGGTGTTTGAGAAAGGAAGTGCACCCCTAGCCTTAAATCCCAACACCTTCCCTGAGCTCTCAGCTCCCAGACCCCCTTCCCAAGCTGTCTACCCTGCAGCCCACAGCCTTGGGCTGGACCTGCCCAGCCCCCATGCATGATGGAGGCAACAATCAGCATCAACTCCCTGAGGAGGGACCAGGAGGTCACCACCACCGGGTGGGCTGCAGGAGAGGCAGGAAGCAGCCTCTGCCCCTTGGGAGGGCTCCCCGCTGCCTGGGAAGATTCAGCTGACACAGGAAAAGTCCTGTCTCTCAGACGGTGGCCTCCCTGAGCGCTGTGCCTTCATTTCCTGGGCCTGGCACAGGAGAGGTACGCGATAGACATCCAAAGAGTACATGAATATCACTCTTAGAAAGCAAAACCAGTATGCAGGCCAAGGAGAGGGCAGCGTGGGCACGGCCTTTGAGGGAGGCCACGCTGCAAGGCAGGGCGCCTGGCTCAGAGTCAGACCGTCTCCCAAGGCTGTGTGACCTTGGGCAAATCACTCAGGCTTTCTAAGCTGGCCACCTCTCACTGAAAGTAGGCGTGAACACGAGGCCTGCTTTGCAAGACAGGTACCAGGAGGAGGAGGAGGATGCAGTCCCCAGAGCTGGGAACATGGGACTGCTCAGAGAGGGACTGTCAGGCCGCGGGAAGCAGCGGATGGCGAGAGGAGAGGGTGGACTGGGCCGAGAGCGATGAGCCGCGAGAGAGAAGGAGCAGAGACGAAGGGAGGTAAATGAACAGGGGCAAAGGAGGCAGAGTGCAAAGGAAAGGGAGTGCACGCAACCCAGGAGGTCTGCCAGGGCCTGGGCCTCAAGGACCTGGGGAGCGGAGGCTGAGTCAGAGCGGGTGGGGTCTGTGAGAGCAGAACGGCTGCTGGTGGTGGTGGTGGTGGTGGTGGTGGTGCACAGGAATGGTCTGGGAAGAAAGACCCCCTCCCCAGCTTCACTTCAGTGGGCGTAAGAGTGGTGAAGAGGCCTCTGAACCTGCTCAAACTGCAATCATTCCAGAATGTGGCCCTTGAGAAAGGCTCTCCCCACTCCCCACCCCTTAGAAAGAGGACATTGCTAAGTAGCGATTCGCCCCAGACCTGGGCTAGGCGTGCTGCTTGCCTGCCGGGCAGGGGAAGGGCACTTGGTCCAGGAGTGATGCTGGTTGGAGTTTTGTTTTGTGCTCCACACTCAGGGATAGCCTTGTCATGGAAGAGCTGAGCAACTGGGTCAGCTCCCCCGGTGTGTTCAGGCTGTGAGCGATGGGGTGTCAGGATTGGGGGGGGGGGTGAGGAGGTTACGGCTCTTCGCAGACCAGGCGGTCCTGGCCGCGCGGCCCCACAGCGACCCCTGCTGGCCGTGGCGGGAACCACACCCAGGAAGCCTCAGCCTGTGGGGCAGGCGGCGTGACCTTCCTGCTTTCCTACCTCTGGGCGTCCTTTCACCCTCCTTGAAAGGAGATAGCGCCACACCGGAACCTGAGGCAAAAAGAAAAGAATGCGCGTCCCATGCGTCCTTATGAAAATATCTTCCCGTATATTTTGAGCCAAAAGGAAAAATTTAATAAATGCCTTTTAAAAAAAACACCAAAAAAAACCAAAACAATCTGTGAATAAAGCCCCAGGTTGCCCAGGCTGCTGGCTTGCATTAATAATAACACATGGACTCACTCAGTTGGAGACACAGCAGCCACGCAGGGTCGTGAAAACAAACAACAGCCTGTCTTCGTTTGAAGTTTTGACTTTTTTGTTCATCGTGGATATTTTTGTTTTAATGCAGAGTTTTAAAAATATTCGATTTGAATACTTAATTTTGTATTGAAATAGTCCCCTTAATTACTGTACCCTTTCAATTTTGTGCCCCAGGCCAGGGCCTCTCTCACCACTCCCTGTTCTTGGCCTTGTCCTGTCCTATTTGAGGGACGCTGGCTGAAAAACACTCATTGTTGAACTCAAGAAAGTCCCCCTCCACACTTACCAGGGCCATGGTTTTCATAATGGCTCATTTGATACCTTTGGCAAAAGAATTTATCACACCAGTGTAAGTGTTTGGACTTTGGCGGTCGCTTGGGGTTGGTGACACTGGATCAGAAGCTTTGGTGTCAGGGAACAGAGGCCCATTCAGGCTCCCAAAGTGAGGGGCTGTAACCAGTAAAAGGACATGCTTGGGAATAAGGGAGTCAGGCCTCTGGGAATCAGAGACCACATGGCCCAGCCTTGCAGGAAGGACAGACCCAGTGCAGCTGCTCAGGGGCCTGGGAATGGGCGGTGGTGGACGAGGCGACTGCCACTTCAGGCCCCAGCCTCTCCAGACCCTCAGCCAGGGTGGGGGGGGGGTTGGAAAAGAGGGAGAGGCCGGGCATCCCCACTTCAGCGTGCAGTCAGCCCAGCTTCTCAGCCTTCCACTTCTCCCACCACTGAGTAACCAGCTGTCAAACTCCACAGCAGAGAGATGCTGTTTGATCCCACCTTTCTTGGTGTCTATGGGTGGACAAAGCCACCGTATAAGCCACTGGCTGCCCCGAGTGAGGTGCCCACCTGGGGTCCAATCAGCTATGGCCATGCTGCTACGGTATGAGCACCAAGGGCCAATTTCAGTATTTTCTGGCAAAAACAGAAACACCATCCCCAGACAACTTCCTGCCAGCTTCAACGCCTTGGTCTTGGGCTCTTTTTCTAGCACACATGAACCCTGCTCCCCACCCCTAGAGCAACCAGCTGCTGGTCCCACCCTCATATCTGACGTTTTCTTCAATCGCCCTCCTTGCTTCAGGCCTAGGCTGCCCCGTAGTCTGCCTGCCTTCTCCTGTCCATCCTTCGCAGGGCCTCCTGCTCAGTCTCCTGGGGACCAAGGCCGCCCTGTTCCCATTCAAGAATCACAAGGACAGTCTGAGCTCCTCAGCCACTGGGGACCCACAATCTGGCACCAACACACTTTCCTCGTCCTACCTGGCAGGTCTGAACTATTTCATTCTCCATCACTTTTTGACTTTCTCCAGCTTTGGGCCTTTGCTCACTTGCTCCCACCCAGAAGCAGGCCTCTTCCCCTGACCCCAGCATCTCCACCGATGGAAACGGTGCCCCTTCCTCAAGGCTGCTCCATGTCTCTCCTTGCCAGAAACTTCCTGGACGAGCCCCCTCCCGCATGGGCACTGCGGCATCCACGCTGGACACACTTGTCTTTCCTCCCTGGGAGAGGTTTGAGAAGTGGCCTAACGTCTTTACAAGCATGGCTTGGTGGCTGCAGGGAGCAGTGCGGCAGCGGGGAGAGGGTGCAGGCTAGGACTGGGGCTAGCAATGGAGGTGGTGGGAGGCGATAGAGTCAGGATTTATTTTTGAAGTTGGTCCAACACGATTTATTGGTGGATTGGATGTTGAGGGTGAAAAAAGAGGACAGTTGAGGATGACTGCACGGTTTTTGGTCTGTTTAACTTGGCAAGTGGAGTGGCCAAGGGAAGGACAGGTTTTGGCAGGAAGAATACCAAGAACTCTGCTTTGTCCACGTGAAATGCGTGATGATGCTGTCAGAGCTGGGACTTAAGTGTGGGATTGGATGAGATCACTGGGGAGAGAGTGTGGGAAGAGAAGAGGGGTGAGGCCGGAGCCCTGGAGCACTTGACCCTGAGGTCAGGGGTAAAGGGAGGGCCTAATGAAGGGTCAATGGGTCAGGGGACGGGACAAAAACCTAGATGCTGCCAGGAGAGCTTTTCCTGGAGGCCTTAGAGGACTTGCCTAGGAAGCTGAGCCCTGGGGAAGACAGGAAGGGGGAAGACGAGGGTAGCCAGGCTGACTGCTTCTCAGTGAAGTATGAGTCAAGGTTATTACCTGAGAAGCAGTGGGTGTGGGGTGCTGAGGGGCTTTCAGGTGAGACAGGAAGGCTGAGAAAAGTCTCGGAGCCCGGAAAAGTGAGTTTTCTAAGGAAAGGGGTGGAACGGATAGGGACTGGCATGTGATTACTGAGATGTGCACCATGAACTTGAAGTGAGAGCAGCCAGTGTCTGCCCAGGGTGACTTTTCTCAAAGGAAAACTAGAGCTGGACAGTAGTTAAAAGGTAAACACCGATTTTGGTCAGGACTATTGCAGTAGGGGGGAAGATGCCTCAGCATAGATCAGGACTCAGCTCCGAACCTAGCGTGGGCGAGTGGCATTCACAGCCCAGCTGGGTGGGGGCAGCGGATGGAAACTAACCCAGAGGGAACAGCAGGGGTGAAAGGGGTTCTGCCTAAACCGACCTAACAGGATTCTTGCTGAAGGCAGGCCCGGGGTGGCTCAGACATCACCTGGGGTGAGGGTGGGTGATGAGGAACCCAATGGGGGATTCTAGCTAAACCAGATGAGCGGGATTCTTGCTAAATTGGACAATGCAGATGAACACATTAGTCCCAAAGTCAGTCCTAGTGGAAGAGATCAGGGGGCCTGGAGAGAATTAGAGAACTTTGTCCCTTTCTCCATCAGAGCCCAGGGGAGCAGAGAGTTCAGGGGGAGGGGGTCCTGAATACCTGCAGGCCTAACCCTGGGTCCTCCACATGGACAAGCCACGTGGACGGATGGATAAGGAGGCATGCTCACTGCCCAGAGTCATCTAGTCACAGGGGCCTGAGGAAGCCATCCACCTGCCCTGCCCCCCTAGCCTTTTCTGCAGCTGGGG